TGTTCAGCAGAGTTTGGAATATGGTAAGCATTTAATTGTTAGTTGTTATTAGTTCCTGTCATCATTTTTGCATCATCTAGTCATTTGTCATGAGGATTTTCTGTTCCTTTATTCTTACTGAGGTTCAAGCTTTGACATGACTTAAAGCTTTGTAAATTCTGTTTGTTCTGGACCTAACAACAGGTCAGGATGCCAGTGTCACCTGTTATACTCAGTAACTTCTTGACTTTTATTACCCCGTCTTCACAAAATACCTTTCTTCAGGATTCCCTCATGGATTATTTCTTCCCTTCTATTTAAGAATTCTTAATCATTTCCAGTAAGTCAGAGTACTTTCTTCAACTTTTACAAGGATTGCAGCTTGCGTTGATACTCTATCCAATTCATGAGTTCAGAGGGAAGAATAATAATAGTAGCTAATACTTTCTATGCCAGGCATTATTTTAAATGCTTTATATGAAGTAACTCATGAAATTCTCACAAAAGCTCTGTGAGAGCCAGGTGTGGTGGCTCCCGCCTATAATCCTAGCACTGTGGGAGGCCGAGGCGGGAGGATCACTTGAGCTCAGGAGTTCTAGACTAGCCTGAGCAAGAGTGAGACCCCGTCTCTACTAAAAATAGAAAAAAATCAGCTGGGCGTGGTGGTACGTGCCTGTAGACCCAGCTACCTGGGAGACTGAGGCAGGAGCATCGCTTGAGCCCAGGAGTTTGAGGTTGCTGTGAACTAGGCTGATGCCATGGCACTCTAGCCTGGGCAACAGAGTGAGACTCTGTCTCCACCCCCCAAAAAACCAAAAAAGCTCTGTGAGGTAGGTGCTCTTATTACTGTTTTCATATTTCACATGAGGAAGTTGAGGCACAGAAAAGCCAAGAAACTTGCCCAGGCCACACAATGAGTAAGCGGCAGAGCTGGGATTTGAATGCAGGCAGTTTGGTTTCATACTCTGTGTTCTTGACCATTACACCCGTCCCTAAGATAGTTTTTTCAGGGAGAACTGTGACGCTTTATGGACCTTGAAACTTCTGCAGCCTTTCCACCTGTTCACAGGTGAGCTGGTTTTGAAGCTGGTGTTGAAGCTGATTGGTCAGCATCTTTCTTATTCAAGGCTAATCACTACCATGTTTTTAGCAATTAGTACTAATATGCTCAGCTTGCTTTTAGGGCAAACTACCTTTAGCGATCACTAAACTTAAACTATTGATGGGCCTCTACTGTTATGTTTTCTACTTCTTTTTTAAGTTCCTTTTGAGTGTGAGAAATTTGGAAGAAGGTAAGCTTTGGATGTGGATAGAAGCAGACCTGGTAGATGGCATATTTTCATAAAGAAATAGTAAAAGTTAGTAAAATCCAAACTTGACTTGATAGAGAAAGAAGGGGTTGAAGAAATAAAGGTGCCTTGTCAGAAGATGGTTATAGTAGAATTGGAAATGTTGCTCAGCTGAGCATTTTTAGCATGTGTTCAGCAATCATTAACTGACTAATGGGCCGGGCCTACTGCTGGGTGCTTTACACGGCCCCATATCCTCCTTGTAATATTTATGACTCATTTTTGAGGCGGTTTGCTCGAGGTATGGAAATAAGTGAAAAACAAGTTGTGGTGGTCTAGTGGTATAGAGGAGAAAGGTCTGTCAGTGATTCCCTCCCTCCCCCCATTAGGCTTTGACTAATATTTAATTACTAGAATTTTATTCTTGTTTGTTAGATATGTCTGTTAGAATATTTATATTGTTTCCTGTGTCAATCTAATTCAATTGCAGATGGGACCTGTCTTAGTACAGAGGGGAAAAAAACCAACTTCTGTTAGGAGCAGTGTATTAAAAAATTGTTTCTTAAGACAAAAGCAAAACTCTGAGCAAAAAAACTTTTCTTTCTTTTAAAAAGACTAATAATTTTAAAATTTTGATTGTGAGCCAGCTCTCGCTGTTGTCATACATTTAGAAGTCAGTGACACATGCAATGTTTTTTCTCACTTTTTCATATTTCAGGAGACCAGTTTTGAGTTTAAATGTTCTCAGTCCAAATTAAAGACAACCACACATTCTTCTCACAAAGGGATAGGAACGCCTTGTGTCAAAAGTTTTGTGCAAAGATTCCGAGAGGCTGAGTCTTTCGTACAACTTTCTGAAGAAATCCAAATGGCAGTTGTTTGGTGTAGGAGCAAAAAACTGAAGGCCCAGGCCACCTTTCTGGGGAACAAACTTCTTAAAAGTAACCGACTTAAACATGTGGAAGCTCAAGGTAATAGGTAGGTGTATTACAAAAATTATATTCCTTTACTTTTTCTGTTGTCATTTAGGGCAAAAGTGTATATATTCGGGTCACCTTTCTTTAAAATGTGATATACAGCTGCCCTAGGGGGGCTAAAAGTGAGATCTACTCAAGCTACAATTTTACTTGCTGCTTTTGTTATAACGGCAAAGCTGTATCACTGGGAGGAAGAAAATAGACTTGGGTTAATTGGACTCATTCATTTATACCCTTCCTCATTCCCACCCGTCCATTCAGAAAGCATTAGGAATGTCTGTGGTGCCAGACGTGGTGGCGCATGCGTGTAGTCCCAGCCTACCTAGTTACTGAGGAGGCTGAGACAGGAGGATTGCTTGAGCCTAGGAGCTCAAGTCCAGCCTGGGCAAGGGAGTGAGGCCCATCTCTTTAAAAAAAAAGAAGGATGTCTGTGGTGTGCTGATGAGCCTAGGAGCCTAGTCTGTGTAAGGCAGACTTAGTCCTCAGAGAGCCCATGCGCCAGTGGAAGAGGTGCAGTACAGCAGGATGAGGGTGTGAGAATAGGAGCAGAAGGTGCCTGCCTCCTGCAAGGCCCACACCAGACTGCCGGGGTCACGGGTCAGGTTTACTGTTCGTAGGAGCTGGAGCTGGACTCCCCATGTTTTGACCTCGTATTCCTGTGATTCTTACACTCATAGAACTGTTTAAGGATGGTTTTCTTTGCTTGTAAGCCAGTATTGCATGAAGCATTCCATGAAATTAGACATTAGACACTTCAGGGCTTTATATTTTTATTGAAATAACAATTTCAGACATAAATGGTTCCTTATCTTCTACTTTCATAGAGGCAGTTACTCTAACTTGTTTCTTATGTATTCTTGTGCATGCACCATAATTTCTTATCTATAGTTATGGATCTGTTCAGGGCTTTATAATGGCTCCTGTGGATGAATCACTTGAACTGTCAAAAATTTGTTGAACTTTCTTTTACAATTTATGGAAAAAATATTCCCGTTTTAGAAAAACATTTGGTATACAGGGAGGGTTTGGTAACAAGTTTTAATTGATTAAAAGCCACAGGAAAAGTAGTTGAATGTTTCTAAGGGATGAATTGCATGGAGGCCTTTTTTACATTGGGGTCCCCTAAAGGCCTATAGCCAGGTAAAAGTACCCTATTCTGGGGCTGGGAACTTAGCCAGAGATGGAGAGAGGTGTTCTGTTTTAAAATGGGTTTAAAGTCAGGGGTAGATGAGGCAGAGATGATAATGATAGGTTAATTAAATGATAACAAACTGGTGTTTATTGGTTAAGCCATTATTCTGTACTTCCCAAAATAGTGTTCTTTCATAGTGCTCTGTTTTGCTATTTCATTAATACCTTATATTTGTAGTACACTTTACAACTTATTTAATGTTCACAAAAACTCTGAGGTAGGTAGTATTATTCCCATTTTATTATTCCCATTTTATGAGGAAGTGGAGGATTTTGCTCAAGATTTTAGAACTGGAGATCTAGAACTCAATTTAGGTCTTCCGAGTCCTGTTTTCATTCATTCTGTTTCCATTTCAATTCAGAGGTATACCCACCTTCTCCCCACTTACAAGCTGCTACATAGTAAGACAGGAAAATAGTTTGGAAACAGATCATGAATTACTTCATTATGATGGTCTTCCTCCTCAAGGTTCTTTTATTTATTTAAAAAGGAAGAGGAGGGGTTGGGTGGGGTAAGGAGTACAGAACTGTGCCAATCTTTTTGGCACAATCTGATTACCAAAAATAGTGAGGCAATTCAGCAAGGCACTGATGAACCTGTGGCAAGTGTACCCTAGACAGAAGCAGAATACCTAAAATGATCAATTGTTTGAATTCTGGATTTCCAGACTTGATGCCATGATATCAGTCACAATTAGGATAGCTAGCTCAAGGCTGTCAGTGTATCTATGCCAAAAGCCCTGTCTTCTCATTCTTTTATAAACTCTCTTCCCTTTTCTTTGTTCATTTCCTGCCACAACATTAAGTTGATTGTCCAGTTATGGATTAATACATTCTGGCAGATATTTTCATTTGTGATGTTTCCCCATTTCCATTCCTGCTATATCACGAACAGAGTAGCACGTATGAGGGAAAAGCTCCGGTAATAAAGCGTGGAGGTGTCTCACCATTCAGCTAGCTAGGCAGTTGTAGGAGTTACTCTACTCTGAGAGCAAAATGGGGACACATTTGCCTACAACCTTAATCAGAGAGAAGTGCTCTGAAAATACAGATTTGGGTTGAAACTCCTTTTCTTTATTTTTCAATGATTGTGCAATTATACGCAGGTGTAGGACTTATAAGTTGTATACTTTTCTATTAGAAGTTGGTAAAAGTGCTTGAGAATGTTTTTCTGCATCTTAATGAGCTCAGATTTTTCCTCTCTCTCTGTCCTTTAAAGTTTGCCAAAGAAACTAGAGTGCATAAAAACATCTATTTGCAACTGTCTTCTTCGTGGCTCAGCTATCAAAACTTCAAAGCATCATCTGAGACAAAGAAGATCACAGAATAAATTTTCACTGAGACAGAGGAAACCACAGAGAAGGTTGCAGTCGACTCTTTTAAAAGAAATTCAGCAGTTCCCTCAAGGGACTCAGAAGAGTGCTGCAGATACCCGTGCTAAGTGGAAGCTCTCACGCAGTACAGTTCATAGAACTGATGGCTACCCTAATGGTAAGCAGCTCTTGAGTGGCAGAGTTTCAAGTCCTATCACACAAACTAAGGGGAAACAGATTCACGAAAATCTTACAGGACGTAATGAAGATGAAGCTGATTCATGGACAGTGATGCAAGTAAACAAACACAACTCATCAGGAACCATTAAGGAGACAGATGACATTGATGATATTTTTGCTTTAATGGGAGTTTAGATGTTCCTATGTGAGACTTAAGTGATAGTTCAGCGTTCTGCTGTTTTAAGTGGAACTGCTGAGATCTGAAAGTATCACCTGGACTGAGAGAGGAGCTGCTTTAGGGCACCATTGCACAGAAGTTCATTCCAGTTCAGTAAATATTTATAGTAGCTTTGTGTCATTTAGTCAAGTATTTTTTGGCTTCAACTACATGCCTGGCATTAAGATGGAAAATCTGCCACAGCCTGCCCTTAAGAAGCAGATGTAATTCCTTGACTGAGGTTAGATGGTACCTGAAAAATTGAATACTTTTATGATTTACCAGGGAATTAAGACCTGAATATTTAAGTTTGCAAAAACCGCTGTGCCTTATGGTAAATGGGTGGTAGTGGGGAATAGCAAGGAAGCACCTGAAAGGGCACTTTGGCCTTGTTGGCTCCATTGTAGATGTCCACCTCCAGATACCATTGTTTGTAGCTTCTGATGGTGGTGCTGTCTTATGTCTTAGAATTGATCATCAAAGGGACTCAAAAGTTTTGCCACTAATTATGTTACCAAGGACTGGTCACAACCATTATTTCTCTTCATTTGTTCACTTTATCTCATAGGAGGACATATTAAAATGCTTTTGTTCTCCAAAAGGTTTTTATTTTTTTGTTTGTTTGTTGGGGTGCCAGTGATTGATTCCAAATAAACCTTTTTCCAAAAAGGATATAAAGTGATCTATGGTTACATATGAAATACAACAGGATAACAGAGGTAGGTGAGAAAGTAAAATGAAAAAATAAGGTTAGGAGACACAAAATAGACCCAGGGATAGGGAAAATACATAGATTTATAATTTGGTGCTGATGGTACAGTCTGATATTTGGATGTTGCTCATATGATTGCTCTGAGGGGGTAAATCTTACGTATTTTCAAATAATGATGTAAAGTTTGCTGTATCAAATTTCAGATGTTCTTACTAGAATTAAGTCAATAAGCTTCTATAAAAGCCTTAAGTTTTATGTTGTTACATGCAGATTTACAAAATACATATTGCATCCTTCTTTTCCTTGGTCATCCCATCATTTTCTTTTCTGTATTTCCCCTCCATTCTTTATCTGGCTTTGTCCTTTCTCTGTCTGCTTTCTGCATTTTCCCAGTTATCTATACCAGTGGCTCGCAAACTTTAGACTTTTTGAGAATCATTTGATGGGTTGTTTAAAAATACAGATTCCCAGTCCCTTCGCAGAGACTGATAAACATGGGCCAGAAGTCTGCATTTTTAACAAGGAGCCACTCCCAAGTAGCCTCTATCCTGTAAGACTTCGTGTCCCAATTGCTGATTTGGGAAAAAAAAGAAATGTCCCTGGGAGTTAGATTTAAGGTCCAGTCTTGCTTCTGCTTCTATTTGCATGACTTCACTGAGCTAGTCAGTTTCCCTGGGCTTAGGTTTCTGCATTTTCATTCATGAATCATAAATTTTTATAGTTGAAAGAAACTTTGGTGACTATACCTCATTGGAAGAACCAGAGTGGCTCAGTGAGTTAAGTAGGTAGAACTATAAAACCTGGATTAGACTATCAACCTAGCATTTTTTTCTGCTTCATTAATGTTCCTTTGGTAAGTATCTTCATCTCCTTTTCCTGTCTCCTGCCCCTTAAAATTCTGGGAAAATAGTAAAAAGCTTCACGTGTCCCCTAAATGATATTTAATTATTAGTAAGGAATGTAATATCAGTTATTTTTCCAAATAACTTGGATTCAGATGTTTTAAATTTTTAAAATTAAAATCTAAAATATACCAAACCATAATTTACCTAGTAAATGAAATTAGAAATTATTGTCAGGGCCATGATAGTGAATACTAATTTTATCACTTCTGGTGGCATTAGGGTACTCAGGTCATTTATAAGAGCAGTGTCTCAGACCTCCTGTGTGTCACTTCAAATCTTCTTGCCCTTCTTAGTCACTGCTGTGGTAACCAGTTTTGAGCAGAGCTGGGCCTTGCCTCCTGCTCTGAGGACCATGTCACTTCCTGCCTCTAGGCTTCTACCCAGCTGCAGGAACTGTTTGGCACTTGGGCATGTGCACCTCTTCCAGGTGTGGAGCTGCCCCCTCCCCTCCTCAAAGGAATTTAAAGGCACATTCCATAAGGTTTCTCAGAAGTTCCCTCGAGACCAAGCCCTAGTACCTATGTTTTGTTCGGCCAGCTCAACGAATACATCACTGATAGCCTTTCCTTCCTTCTCTTTCACTTCATCGCTCTATTCCCTGGGATCACTGCCCAAATAAGCTAACATATGCAAGCTTTTGTCTCAGGCTCTGCTTTTAGGAAAATCAAGGCTAAGAGAAGGCAGGTGTGGTGGCTCATGCCTATAATCCTTAGCACCCTGGGAGGCTGAGGCGGGAGGATTGCTTGAGGTCAGAAGTTTGAGACCAGCCTGAGCAAGAGCAAGACCCTGTCTCTACTAAAAATAGAAAAGAATTAGCTGGGTGTGGTGGTGTGCGCCTGTAGTCCCAGCTACTCAGGAGGCTAGGGTGAGTTTGAGGTTGCTGTGAACTAGGGTGACGTCACAGCACTTAGCCCAGGTGACAGAGTGCGAGACTCTGACTCAAAAAATAATGGAATGAGGCTAAGATAAGCAGTAAAATAACACTCACAGAAAGGTAACTTCTAAGATAAATTCTTTTGTCACCATATATTTTACTTTGTGAATGCCTGTATTAAAAAATCTTTTTTTAGCTTAAAACACTGCTGGTTAGAATAAAGTAGATCAATTCTATCAACCATAGAACTGAAAACATATTCAGAATTGAGTTTTCTAAAAAAAAGCCACAAAGGTGGCTTATGGTTTTAATTAATTTTATATCTGACACTATAGCTATACCTTTTAATATTCAGCCTCATTCAGTGGCATCTTCATAAAAATCCTATTAACTTTAGTTCAAAGGCTTTATCTTTCCATTCTGAATCTTAAATGTATCAAGTCTAAACTGTCCCACCAACTTTTTCTCTTGCCCTTTGCAAATTAGTTTTCTCACTTAAAGCTAGTTTTTGTTTTTTGCTTTTCACTGGAGAAAATGTTATTTCCCCCATGACCGGATGTTTCCTCTGATAAGTCTACCTGTGAATCTTGCTGTATTCTTTGGTTGGTTTGGCTTTACAACTATGCAGCTGTCCTTCTCACATATATTACCTCATGTAATGCCACTTTAATAACTTGCGAGGTTACAGTTACAAATAAGTTTAGAGAATTCAAGTAATGTGCCCAACTTTCAATACATAATAAATATCAGAACTGGAACTTGAATTCTGGTCTTTTGGGTGTTTCCAACATGGACTGACAAATTTTATCAAGAAGATAATCAAGTAAGGTCTCAAGAAAAAAGATTATAGGCATACATAGGAGCATTTATCGTTCATCTTACTTATCAATGCTTAACAGAAAAGCAGCCCCCTTTACTTAGTCCATTTTCGTATTTTAAAAAATTCATAATAGATAGATTTTCTTTAAAAGACAAAAGCCCAGGC